ATAGTCTATAATTAAACTCTTCCCAAGTTTGTTTTTGTTTTTCCTGATTAAATGGGGATTAAGAGCAACTACTTCATTTTTATTGTCATGAAAATTAAATCTTAAAGTTGTACATAGAACTCTGAGCCCACTGCAAGCTACTAACAGTTGGCATTGTTCCTAATACACAGTCGCTGTCTATTTTTATATAAATGTAAATATATTTGATTGATTTTATTCTCAGCCAGGAACAAAAATGACGATTTCTTCCTTTACTCCAGCCATGTTAGTTTTCAATGAGATTCTTATAGAATTACTGTTATCAGTTGCAATTTACCCATTTATTTGTATAATTTGCTGATGCCTCTTTTATCCTGAGCACTATCTTAGGCACCTGAGAAGCATATGGTCAGGAAGGGATAACAGACAAATAAGCATAAGACAGCAAAAAGGTATGATCATGACTCTCACTTGACAAGTTTGGTGACTCAGAACCCCAACATCTACATTCATCCCAGCAGACCCTGAGTTATCTGACCCCAACCCATTCCTCTGACCTCTTCCACTAATCCCCAAACTCCCTCTACTCTTTCATTCTCCCCTGGTTGCAGGTGGTTCTTTCTCCTGGTTGCCTTTCTTCTGGTTTCCTTGCTCCTGTTCTGACTCAGGCTCTGGGCATGTGCTCTTCTTTCTGCCTCTAACCCTCCCCTGCTATTCACATGTGGCGCCTTTGCACTCATCATTGCAGCTTGAATGTCACTTTCTCAGTGAGTCCAGGCCATCCACTGGCCTGTTGCCCTCAATTTCCTCTGTCCGAGGACCATCATTATTTTCCTCCTGGACGTACCCAGTGTGTGTTTTTACAGGCCCTCTTGAAGCTGTGAGCCCTGTGGAAGCAGAAACCAGGTCTTGTGTTCATCATTGTTCACACAGCATTCTGAGAGTTTGGAATATAGAAAGCCTTCATTTAAAAAAAAAAGTGTCAATACATAAAAATGATAGATATCTGGGTGTCATCTCAACAGATGAGTCAGAGTTCACCAGAAGGACAAGGAGAAATTAGTGGTTAAGTATTCCCATTTGAACACAGCATAGAAATTTGGAGATTTAAACTCAAATCCCAATCTGGCTACTTATAGCTATCTGTACCTGAGGGCAAATCCTCTGAATTTTATGGGTCACATATCTTCATTTGTGACATGGAGGTAAGAACACCTCATTATGGGGTTATTGTGAAGAGTAGATCCAAGATATCCAAAACGCGGATAAATAAAAGAAAACAGCACCATGGGTCTATCCAAATGTAGGAAGGAAACTAGTGAATCAGGTGCTCTGGAGCTATTTTAGCACAGTGGCTCCTCATGCACGTCTCATTCTGAGAGTGAAAGACAGTGGTCTGACCTGAAACACTGGGCTGCTGGGAGGAAAATTGAATTGTTGCAAAGTCTTTAAAAGTACAAAGTGCCCACAGTAAGTTTTTGAAGGTCAAAGATTTACAGTTTCTTTGTACAATATCTTGAGGATGTAAAAATAATGGCTCTTCCTTACATCAGGCACTGGCCCCAATGCTGTAAAGATAGTCCCTCACTTAATTCTGACAACTCTATGAACCACTAGTTCCCCAGTTTCACAGTAGAGGAAACTGAGGCACAAAGATGGTATAAAAATGGAAAAAAAAAAAAGATGGAAAGAGACAGGACTGAGTCTTCAAGCCAAGCAATGTGACATCAGGATCCCTGCTCCCAACCCACACATCATACTGCCTCTGTGTGGCAGAGAGGCTGTCATAAACACCAGTTCCAATCCCTACTCCACAGTGTACCAGTTGTGTGGCCATGGGCAAGGGTTTTACTATTTCTGAGCCTCTGTTACCTCCTGTAAAGGAGGTGAAAGCAATGGTATCTAGTTTGAAGATAGTGACATTGAAATAAGCCAGCACATGTAGGGTGCCCAGCTTGTTGCCAATGTTCGGTGGAAAGCAGCTGATGTAACCACTCACAGTAATACTAAAATCCACTAGTTGATCTTGACGTGGTTGAGATTTTACAAGCCTTGATGGCTTTTAATTGAGAAATATGCATCCATGACAGGTAATCAATACGCTCATTTGGCAGCCAGGTTCCAGATGAAATAAAGCTGAATGATGATGCAATTAGAATATACAAACAAATCCCCTGCAGAAGTCAAATAGACTTGACTGCCTTTTCCATCCTAATCACCACGGGGCCCTGTTTAGAGTGCCTCTGCAAGGCATTTTTCTCCCTGAATCTGGACCCAGCTAAATAAACAGGGTGCTCTTCCCTCACTGCTGTTTGTTTTTCCTGCTTTCTCCTTGCAGCTCAGCATGAGGCATGACTCCCTGACTGAAGGATCCTGCACACCTCACTGACAGACACCATCTCTTGAAATTCACTTTGTCATTTCTTTGCTCATTGTCAGACCGAATGACAATAGCTGACGATTTTAATAGGGAAACGGCTCAGGCAGCAGGTTCTCAACAGTCCCTGGCATGTCTTTTTCAAAACCCCTTCTCTTCTCCTATATGAATGTCTGCGAATTGCTAATGACCAGGCCATCCTTGTGGGTCACCGTCACATATATGAGAATCCTCCACCATTCTCTTCTAGTATTCCCCACTGTGGCTTATTAAATTTAAAATGCATCATAACTGCCATATGCCAGTGAGCTTTAATAAACTGTAACATCAGTCAAAGTTTAGTTGCTCTTAGCTCAGATTCTAGATCTCCCCCTTATGAGCTCTGTGACTTGGGTAGGTAATGCTAGTCCATGTGTCTCAATTTTCTCATCAATTGCAAGATGATGATTATTGTGCTCGATATTCGGCTTGATAGGAGGAGGAAGACTAAAATATATGTAAATTTCTCACTTTTTTGGCTCATATACAGTAAGCTCACAATATATATTTGTTTGTTTGGTACTGGGGATTGAATCCAAGTTTTCTTTACCACTGAGCTATATTTTTATTCCTAATTATTTTTTTAAGGCAGGGTCTCACTAAATTGCTTAGGGTCTCAAAAAGTTGCAGAGTCTAGCCTCAAACCTATGATCTTTCTGCCTCAGCCTCCTAAATTGCTGAGATAACAACTGAGCACCCTGTTCCTAGAGCTATATATTAGTTTCCATAATTATCATCAATTAATTATCAGTAGGAAAATATCATAAACAAGAATAATTTAGGTCAATCAATTTTTGTACAATATGTTCTGGAACTCTTGGGACCATATAAAGAATATGGGCTTTAATTAGGTATGGTGGCACATATCTGTATTTCCAATAGTTCTGGTGACTTAGGCAGGAGGATTGCAACTCCAAAGCCAGCCTTAGAAATTTAGTGAGGACCTCAGTCACGTAAGGAGACCCCGTTTGAAAATAAAAAAAAAAAAATAAAAATAAAACATGCTGGGAACGTAGCTTTGTGGTTAAGCAAAGGCCACTGTGTTCAATACCTGGTAGCAAAGAAACAAAAAAGAATACTGACCATATAAGTTGGAATGAAGTTTTGGCTCTGCCACTTCTGCTTGACCTTGGGTAGATTATTCTTCCTCTTTGAACTTCAGTTTCCTCATTGTAAACTCTGTGAAAATGTAAATAAATATGAATATCTCCTCCCAATAAATTTTAAAATTTAGCCTTAAGCCGAAGCAAAAGAAGTTGCTGTTAGAATCCACACTATAATGTGACCATGAAGATATCAACATTAATTTGATCTGAAACTGCTTCCAAAGTAGCCAGTCATAGGACCAATGAATGGGAAAAGAGCTCTCAGTGTATTTTCCCTAATGCATTCATTTTACAGAGGAAAAAAGGGAAGAAGAACACGTTTCTAATAAATTGAAGGACTCATTTGATATGACACAGCTAGAACAAGGCCAAGCCCAAGAGGAGAACCCCGGTATACTGTAGCAATTAATATTCTGTTCTAATCTGCCAAAGCCAAACAGAAGAACAAAAATAAAGGAGTGAGTTTGGATTAAAAAGAAAGTTTGAAGGAAAGGAAGAAAAGGACAGAGGGAAAAGGAAGGAAGAAAGGAAGGAAGGAAGGAAGGAAAGAAGGATGGAGGAAAGGGAACAGAAAACTCACACAGAGTGTAAAGCACCACCAGAGCACAGGACGGTCCTGGGTGACGTTGGGAGCTAGGATGATGGCCAGAGCAGAGCACGGGATGAGACAGCATCAACTCAACTTCCAGCTCCGCCACCCAGGGGCTGTGCAATCTGAGAAAAAGACTCAACTTTTTCATGCCTCAGGTTCCAAGTATTGCCTTCTCTGAATGGGTATTGTGGGGGGAAAAGAAATGTTTGGTATACGATTATTAGTATGTAGGAGATTATTAGTACATAGGCCCAGCACATGGGAAGCATTTAACTGTTTAACTCTTATTAAATATACTGTTGATAACACTTCTTTTTTTCTACTTTTAAAGTATTTATTTTGCAGATGTTAAAATATTTTATGTTTTCTCAATTGAGCACCATGGAGCTAATCCTGATAAGGCATTGGAAATAAATATAAAAGAGGCAAAGGGCTATAGGGATGGGGTGGGGGCACCAACATTGATATATATGCAGTGCCTGCTGTGTATAGGATACTGCATGTGGATCTCTGCACATCTACTTAATCCTTCTCGTGGACTATCGGGGACACATTATTGCCCTCATTTTATAGATGAGAAAAAGGAAACTGAGCAATTAAATAATTTGACCAAAACTTTTTTGACACAAAAGTCTCTTTCTTCTCTCTTCCATACTATATATTTCCCGTCCAATAGGAACCCATTAGACACAAGTCTATGTCCAAAAGAGCTAGCGTATATACCCAGAAATCTTTAGAAGGCACGTCAGAGAAAATTGTCTTATTACTGGTTTTCCTGGGTTTTAGGAAAATGACTATAAAGAGATTCCATTCATTTTCCCATCCCCTGTTCCCTTATATAAACAACAAATTACCAGCCTTGAAAGCAGGCAATCTTGGAGTTCACACATCTTCATTTTTTATTTTCAGGATAAACAGTGTTGCTGCTCAGAAGACACCTTGAGCTCACTGCTCGTCTTGAGCATTGATGGGCATGTCTAATTAAGGTAAAAATATATCTTTTTTCTTACATATTTTCTATGCTCAAGTGTTTGTGGTTTGCAGTAATATGTTGGTGGACAAGATGAGAGGGAAAGAGCACTACTAAGGAGTTATTTTCCATTTTTTCTTTTGTCTTGAGTAAAATCCTGTGGATTAAAAGGTCCCGGATCTCTGCTAGTAGACTCCACCGAAAGTAAGAGAGATGACAGGCATTAAACATGCCAATCTCTTTAGCTTGAGTGTGTTGATTTTCCTTCTTGTGAAGCACTTTCTTAACCTAAGGCAGCAAATCAAATGATGTAAGAATATTTCTTTCATAGGAAAAAAAAGTTAGAGTATGAAATTGTCTCATTTGAACACTTTCTCCCCTCTCATTTTCTATTGAGAGTTTGGGACCAGGTTTGTTTGTTTGTTTGTTTGTTTTGCCTTCCAAATGTATTGCAAATGACCAAATCAATGAAAAGTGCCCAGTGGTGATAATGGAAAAACTCAAAGACTCAGAAATAGCCAGCCATGCTTAGGTCATGATGTTTGTGTGTGTGTGTGTTTTAATATAGATTTGAATATTTGTTCTGGTTTTCTGTTGCATTTATAGACAGCAGGCTAGTCATGTTTTCTGTTCATAAATTCTCACCTAGTTCAGCTATTGGGATTAGCTGTGTCTTTTGTGCTGGTCTGTGCATGATCATGGTGTTCTGTGGTTTCCAAGTGTTCTGCCACCTGGATGACAGGCAGAGCCACCATTTAAGGCCATAGTTTCCACATGTGATTTCAACAAGTCGGCACAGTATTTTTGATTGTTGACTCTATTTCCCAGAAGCTCTTTCTAAAGCACTTTCCGTGAGTTCTCTGATGAAAAGGGTATTTTTCCCAGGTTTCCAGGCAGGGAGATGAGGTTGGCCGAGTGATGAACTATAGACAACACAGCTTGATGAGAAGAGTGGTAAACTCTCCTCAGTGTGAGCCTCATGACTTTCCAGGAGATTCACAAAACTTTCCCTTCTGGGGAAAGTGTCCCCAGAAAAGGGACAAATGGATGACCTAATACTGTCCTTATAAAATGAGGGGGCTTAAAAATACCATGACAATTTCATGAGGTCTAGAAAAGGATCTGGAGAGTTGCTCAAAAATATTTATTGTGCACCTTATGTATGCTTCAGGAATATGAGGAGGAAAGGCTGACCTGTTCTTTCCAATCACAAGAGCCAATTTATATGAGTAGAGTCAAGATGTGAATCAGGTCAAGAAACTTACAAAGCAGTAAGTTAGGAGTAACTTACAAAGCAGTGGCTAGGAGGTTTCCACCCCAGAGATCTGGATGATAAAATCTATGTCTTAATTAGGACCAAGCACACTTCATAAGCTAGAGTAAATATCTGGTCACTGGAGGAAGAAATTTTAACATATCTAAACCATGGTGCTCCAAGGATAGTTCTTGCGAGTTATCCAGGTGTCAAGCAACCTAGACACCAAATATAAACTCCACATCCAAAGGTCTAAAGTAACACTTCCCTTAAGAAGGCAAAAAGATGAGATAGAGAAAATCATCAGAAATAAAATGTGCAACATCTGTGGAACCCTTACCGCCTACAAAGAATTGTTCATCATTGACATATATTTACTCAATTAAATGGGATAGGTATAGGTGCTAATGTCATCTCCATGTTGAAGATGAGAAAACCGAGGCACAGAATTCAAGTGATTGTTTCAAATATGTAAAATTAGAAAGCTATAGTATTGGAATTTGAACTCAGGTAACTTGTGTCCTGAATCCATCTTCCTGATGGCCACATGATATTGCCTCTGCAGTTTCAAAGGAACTGATTTTCATTCAGCCTTAATCAAATGAGGAAAATCCAAAATGACACATCCCAATAAAATCAGGTCTTAAATTTGCTTCTATGGGCCTGTGTATGTAATTAGTGTGCATCAGACAGGCTTACAGGTAGGGAAATAGGGCAGAGAACACCAGGAGGTTATTGGTTAGGAATTCTTCAGCAATGGCCTGTTGCAAATGTGGGGCTCAACACAGTTCTGAGTGAGCAAGACTGCTCCCTCTGAAAAGGGTGACCTCCATTGCATTTTATACAGGAATGTCTGTAGGTGGTGCTTCTGTGAATCAATTCTAGCACACAGACTCAAGAGTGGTTGCTAGCACTGACTCAGACTACGTGGTTCAGCTGGGAGCTGAGCTGTTTCTGTTTCCTAAAGGCCAACATCAGGGAATTTATCTGCTCCAAGTTGCCGCCTGCCTTGGGGTTCTAATGCCAGCACACTTGAACCAGGATTCAGTCACCTTCTGGTTAGCACCAGGTACCCTCAACCTTCAGTCATATTTCTGAGTCTTTGCACAGCATTGGGTGAGGTGACACTCTTTCAACCCGGTGAAACAGAAGACCTCATAATATTTTTTTTTTCCTCCTCTCTGGCCCTATTTCCAAGAGAGCATCTAGCTCTTGAAATGTTGAATGTGGGGTTTTACACCTCTTACCCTATTAAAAAAATAAAAATAAAAATAAAGCCTTTAGATATCACAGATTGCAAGCAAAACTCTAAAATAAGACTAGGAAAATAAGGCCAATTTACTACTCCCCTACACACAACAAGCACTACTTTTGTAAATAAGAAATGAAATAACCCTTTCCCCACTCTCTCATGCCAGATCTCTTTGACTCCCAGCACTCTAGAAGGCAACCTCTTTACCCCAGAATTGTCAGGAAAGCACAGGCTGACAGGTCGTGTTATTGCTTCTGATCCCATTGGTCACATCATGTAACATCTTCACTCCTAACCTAATTGGATGGATGCGGCTTGACAGGGCATGGCAGGGATGTGGTCTGACTTCCCCAGAGCTAGCTGCAGGCTCCTGCCTCCCCACAAGCTTCCAGAGACTGCACAGCATTCAGGACGCTTGAGTGTGTATTTCTTGGTCAAAATTGGTGTGAGGGCAGCAGCCTGCCCTGAGCTGCTTGTTCTCAGGTTAGGTTCCTAAGGAGGCCTGTGGCCATTCTAGCCTTCCTATTAGAAGAAAGTTAAAGATCTTATAAATGCAATAATAATAATAATAATGTTTAGATGACTGAGGTTGTGATGACCCTTGGAAAGCACTTTTAAATGTTTCATAGTCAATAAAATAAACCAATAAAATCAGCATACCCAATAAAGAGAATGCTGATGACATTTCACATATCTCCAATTAAAAATGAGAGGATTGGCAATTCTGTTTCATTGAACATCTCTTGCCCAGAAGAAAGTAAGCTCCTCTACTTGTTTTATTCAGTTGCAACAAGTGCATCTGGAGTTATTTTGTCCCCTGTGATTGGTCCTCTAAATACTCAGGGTCTTTCTGATTTTTGAAGTTTTGATTCCATTCCATAGCATTGTGCTATTCTGCACTAGGTTTTTTGAGAGAGTTTTGTTGTTGTTTCTATTGTTTTTTTTCTGAGCGCTGGGAATCAAACCCAGGGTCTCATGCTTGCTAGGCAAGCACTGTACTACGGAGCCACACCCTCAGCCCCTATGCTGGGTTCTAGAGGCAAAAATAAATAAATAAAATAAAATACATGGCTGTTCCCTGATCCCAAAGTGTCCAGAGAGAAAACAGAATGCACACAATAGCCATCCAAAGTAGAAGGCAGGTTGGAGAGAAGAGAGCTCAGAGTCAGGGAGACCAGCAGAAAGCTTCTGCAACCTGCCAAAGGAGAGAAGTAGAGAAGAGGTGCAGAAGAAATGGAGGAAAAGAGACAGGCCGGGGGAAGATGTGACTTAGAGCATTGCAGGGAGAAGGCAGTGCAGTGACTGCCAAGGAAGTCAGAAAATCAGGGCTTTAAGAAAAGGGTAGCTTTGAGTCTTCCAAAGCAAAACAGTTGCATTCCCCATCCTTACAGACCAGGCTAAGGAATCTGAGTCTGGTAACTTCAGCACTTTTTAGGCCACCTGTGATGGTGGATTGTCTGATGCATTAAGAAACATGCTACTGATGAAATTGATATGTTTAATTTATTCATTTATTGTGTTTACTTGTTTTGGTGCTGGGGATTGAACCCAGGACCATATATGCTAAGCACATGGGCTCTACTACTGAGCTATGCCCCCAACCCCAAAATTGGTATTTAAGAAAAAATATTGTTTCTTTCTTTTATTTTTTAATCCGCAATTTTGCTTCCAGAGTTCAAATGAAGATGCAAGTCAGATACTGCCTAGCTGCAGAGGCTGAAGGTTGGTGAGGCCATTCCCAGCTGATAGAAAATCAGGTTATAAGCTCAATTTGTTTTCCAGTGTCTCCGTGATGTGACATTAGGAGGTGATGGCTGCAGTTATGGGAGACATTTGTTCCAATGATATTCATAAATACACTTTGTTAGGCAGTTATGTCGAATCCACCTGCTTTTCCGTCCTTCCCTGAGAGCAGGCTGCTTTTCAGCTGTTTGATTTCTCTGTCTGAGATAGGACTGTGCTGACAGAGAATCTGGAACTGAGGCATGAGGCACAGAATGCTAAATCTACCTGCAGTATCTTGTGAGGGAGAAAAAGGCAGGAGTGGGTTGAAGAGGTCCCTGGGGGATCCAACTCTAGACACATTTGCATTCAAGCTGGGGCTGAGTTGGCTTGGATCCAGAGGTGCCATTTAAGGCAGGTAGGAATAGAAAACTGTTACTGAAGGACTAGCAAGAATCTTTTCTTCTGGAATGGAGCTTTGTTTTGGGATTGATAGAAATGGTGGATTCATTCTTGAAGTTCCTGAGGAGCTCTACAGAAGAGGACACACAGTGAGGTTAAATGCCCCTGGCTGTATGACTCTGGACACTTGGAGCGTCAGTTTCTATATCTGTGAAATGGGAATAATTCTACTCATCTTATGAGGTTCTTTTAAGACAAAATGAAACAACTTGCTCAAACCCAGCCTCAGTTATTAACATAGGGCCTGACCCTCAAGAATGTCAGGTTTCTTCTCCACCATGTCACTGTGAGAGATGGCATTCCTGTCACCGGGCAGGCAGGATCA